ATGTTCAGCAAGAAGGATCATCGTCACAAATGCCGCCTCGGCCTCACAACCAACAATCCTTACAAGCCCTCATTGGACGCGAACTTGAGAATATTCTCCAGAATCCACGACACCAGGACTCACCCACCAGTTTCACTGGAACACCGTCTCCATTTTCTAGTCTGAATGATGTGCAATCCTCGGTTACATCAGAAACCGAACAATCCGGAAACCCATTTTCGGAAAAGCCACCTCTATCACTCACAATACCCCACTCTCACCGAGATGCTAGAAGTATTCTCCCTTCCGCCACAACTCCTATCTCTAGAAGAGATATGGAGGTGTTGGCTGATCTTGTCGCCCAGCGACTAATAAGGGATCGTACCCCAGTGTCACCAACCCATGGACATAACCCTGCGATACCACCTCCTTCCTATTCATGACATTTCCTACTTTCTTTGATCACATGTGGACATTTCTTTGGAGAAGAGTTGTAAAAATACGAAGATAGCAAATATATTGACCGAAACAGGCGCCTAGTTCAGAGCTCCCCTTATTAGTGGATCACCCGTTCCTACGAGACTGTTACATCAGAACCGCAAGTGCCGTCTCAATTGCCAGCCATAGCTGTGCCCATAAACGCAAATTCAGACTGATGGACAGCGCGTCATTTGACAATTCGGTTGGCTTCAGTAATAGACGTGACGTTTCTGGTCTTGCTCGCAGCGCCATAACAAGCCAAGGCTCTGTTTTAGGTAGAGCGCATGCTTCGTAGCGATCGCAAACAGCAGTGTCAGGCGATTCATGAGTCCTCCTTGTGGTGCACTTTGGTATCGGCAGATCGAAGTCACCTTTCAGGAGCAAGGATATGGATACAGCAACCAAGCAGCATCGTCCTCATGCCTTACGCGATGCAGGCGCCGAAAGCCAGCTATGGCTGTCAAACCAAGGTCAACGCGCAGTCGGCGCGAGACCTCTCGATTCCTTTAAGCGCAGATCTCAGCCTTTCAAAAATTTCTTCTAATGGCAGAAGTGCCACCTGTTTGTCAAACTACGACGTAAACTGGAGATCGATCCCACCCCAGCGGGACGAGGTGGTCCCAAATTGCCATCAAATAACGAAAAGTTATAATCCTCACTCGACACTCCAGAACTCATTTCACAACGCCTTTCCGGTTGGTCAATGTCATTCCGTCACGACCGGTGCAGTCTCGGGTTAGTCTTCCCATCTAATATTATAGATCAAAGAACGACTTATGGCTGTACTGGTTTTGGTTTGATAGTAGTGAACTTTATATATGTACGGTAGAAAGTGGTAAATCGCTGAAGTATCAATAGAGAGAATCGTCTCGTCTTCCACCATGCCTGGGCGTGTCTTCTCTGGGCCCAAATCCCGTAACTGTTGTGTACTCGTGTGTGTAATGGATAACGAGTAGTTGTAAGCCGAGGCATGAAACAAGATCACGGTAACCGCGCTGCACCATCCCATCGAAACGAATAGGCCTGTCGAAACAAAGCATGCTGGGAGAATTCCCGGCAAGGAAAAAAAGGGGCTATATGTGTGTGTGTTTTGTTGTTCCTTGTGGCAAAAGAGGCCGTGCACACGGCAATATCACATATATTGGCGCCTCATATTATACATGACGGACGCTGTCGGCTCGAGATCCCCTCAATCCCCTCTATACCCTTCGAGCAAATATTATACTCCGTCATCAAGCTTGTTTACAAGTTTATTAATAATTGGAGATGTGGCTTTCGCTCGTTCTTGCACTCTCCGCCCATTCCGTCGCCGCACTCACCCTCACTGGGCCCGACTTCATTTCCTCCTGCAACACATTTGCGTTCACATTTTCAGATGGTATACCTCCTTATATATTCCATCCGATGCTCGGAGCCGGTCCTGAGGGAGAAGTGCTGGACGCAATTCAGCAAGGCTATTTCCTAACCAATGACACTTCCTATTGGATCTACATCGGCAATGGACCAGGTATGAGGACCCTTTTCATTTCTATGTCTTCTAGCTATTGACGTTTTGGCGTGTCGAAAGGAAGTGTCATGGAGTTTTACGCGACAGATTCTGCCCAGGCAATGAGCAATACTCTCTGTAAGGCGGCCCTTTTTCCTTTGGGTTAAAACTGAATTCTCTCTTTTCAACAGGGTATACCGTGCGGGACGCTGGTAGTTGTCCGACCTCACGCGCACCCACCGACTTGAGTTCAGCGGTAAGCACTCCTTTGACGCAAAGAGTTCGAAGCTGATTACCTAGCCGGATAGACTGGCCCAGTACCAACTGGTTCCAGCTGGGGAAGCTCCGATGCATCGATGCCTCCGCTAACTGGCGCGACCACCCGCATGAGCAGTAGCATCGGGAGCAGTAGCATCGTAAATACTGGAACGGCGACCACACTCCACATTCCGACTACTACTGGCGTTGCAAACCCACCCTTTGCGTAAGTGCCCTTCTTCTGATATCATGATCGTCCAACACTGAGGATTTGCACTATAGGTCCCTTGAACCCACGTTGGACAGTTCCGGCTATCAAATCTCTAAAAGTGCCGCGGTGGCCATCGTCGGCTCACTGCTCGGTGCACTTCTCTTGGCTATAGGCTTTTGCCTCTGGAGACGGCGAAGACGAAACATGGTTCGCAGCATTCAGAGAAGAGATCAGGATCCAGCTGTGATGGATCACGCAAACCTAAACTACAGCGGGGCCCTGCTGACTGGTCCTTCCACGATTGCTAGTCGTGCCTCTTATATCGATTCACCCGACACACCAAGCCCTTTACCACAGCCACACGTACTTCCTAGCTCCAAAGAGCTTCGAATGAGAGGTGGGGTACATCGTGAACGAGATTTAGAAGGCGGCTCGTCAGTCAGCGATGCTTCTGGCCCGTTATCTGCAACAGATTCGACGTCAATCTGGCCGGATGCAAGTGACATTCAGCAAGCAGGACCATCCTCACAAATTTCGCCTCGACCTTCAGGAGCTCACCAAGAACAATCCTTGCAAGCCCGTATTGGCCGCGAACTCGAGAATATTCTCCAGAATCCACGACATCGGGACTCACCTACCACTCTCACTGAAACATCCTCTCCTTTATCTAGTCTGAATGATGTGCCGACCTCGATTACATCCGAAATCGAGCGACCCACGAATATGTGGTCGGAAAAGCCACCTCTATCACTCACAATACCACAATCTCATCGGGATACTAGAACTGTTCTTTCTTCAGCTGCAACCCCTATCTCGAGAAGAGATATGGAGATGCTAGCCGATCTTGTCGCCCAGCGACTGATACAGGATCGTACTCCAGAGTCACCAACACATGGACATAATCCAGCGATACCGCCTCCTTCCTATTCATGACATTTGTGGGTCCCTCTTATCACATGTGGACAATTCTTTTGGAAAAGAGTTTCAGGCAGTGCTCTGAAACTCGGATTGATTCTTGTTTTAATACAAAATGTACTTCTTCTCACAAATGAAACAACCGTTTATCAGAGATTGTGCAGTAAATGGTGCATGCAGGTGGTCAAGCGCCTACTTTCTCGCCGACTTTATTAGCCGTTAGCCCTGTTTAACGCAAATATGAGCGTGGAAAGCGTTGTAATGCCTTCGAGCACGACCTCTGGTCTCAGTGCATCACTGTAAGCCCTTGGCCACATTGTTTGCCACCGACCCCGCGCACGCCCCTTGCGACCTCGACGTTCTTACCCTCAACACAGACATCCTTTACCCATCTTGAACATATCGGAGCACTTTACAAGAGTACGATTGCAGAATAATGTGTCGTTACCTTTCAGTGAGCAACCCTATATCCAAATAGCGCGCCAAATTAAATCGCGATCTGCAGTTGTCGGAGCGTTGCTCGGAACGCAAAACGGGAGAGAAGTCGAGATTGTCAATACCTTTGAACTGAGCGCTACTATTCCCCACGATGGAAGCGAGCCAGTGCTCGATCATACTTTTGCCACCGCAAGGCGCGAGCAGTGTGAGCAGCATGAATTTGGTGACAATATTGGACAACTAACATGGTTTCATTCGACAGATAAACAGGTTTTCCCCTCTCTAGAGGTGATAGGCTGGTACACCGTCTCGCCACAGCCGACTCCTGTCCATATTGCAATGGTTTCTCAGTTCTCTACATACACTCAAAACCCACTTCTTCTTCTTCTTCAACCTGGTTTATCCGGCACCGTTCAATCGACCAAGGCACAACAAAAGCAGCAACAGCAACAGCAGCAGCTCCCGTTGAGTCTCTACGAGCCTACACTCGGCCTTGGAACATCCAAGACCATGTTGATCAAGGTGGACTATAAGGTCGAGACGGGCGAAGCAGAGCGTATTGCTGTCGATTGGAGTTCAAAGGGTGGCGAGGGAGGTGGCAGCTGTGAGTCTATGGCATAGTGTGCAGAATGACATCTAACACGCTTTGAATCAGTAATTGCTCATCTACAAAGCCAACGGCGGGCGGTGCAAATGCTTCATACCAGAATTGGCGTCATCATTTCCTACGTCGAGAGTCTGATCAAAGAAGACGGCACCAAAATGGACTATGCGATTCTACGGTCAATCCAAGCCTTGGTGGCGAGTCTCCCGGCGAGCGAGCACAAGACGTTTAGGGAGGAATTCGACCAGGAATACGCCGACGTTCAGCTCACGGCGTACCTCTCCACGCTAACAAAGACTGCCAACATTCTCAATGATGTACGTGTTTCCTAATCTGTGTCTTGTTTGTCCGTCTGATGTTTTCTGGAGATTGTCGACAAGTACTCGTTCATGACCCACAGAGACGAGGACAGGAGAGCTGGTGGAAGAATGGGCGGCCGTAGACCAGGACGAATGGGCAGTGGATTTGGGTACGGTGGAGGATTCGGAATGGATGCATGGGACCGTTTCGAACGTTACTAGGTAGACTCGCCCTCTAGTTCTTGGAATGCTACGCTAAGGTGTGATAGCTGACTCAATCGAGTGAAGTGACGGTAAAAAGAGAAAACCTATCCAATCAAAAAGGAAATGTGACACAGGTGGGGTTCGAACCCACGCCTCTTTCGAGACCAGGAATTTTAAGGATGTCATCGCTAGCCAAATCGCACACACGGGCGCGCGATAAAACCTGCAATAATCTTAAATCTGGCGTCTTAGACCACTCGACCACTGTGCCAATAAACTCCAGGAAGGAATCTAATTATATATGTATCCTTTACAAAATCTCCCGGCCAGCCGAGGTCAAACTGAAAAGCGCCGAACATTCACATATGGCTGAGGCTAGACACACGCCCAGCCTATCCTGGATAAACTTATTCAGCAATCCATGGGAACCGACGGGATCGGCAGCCGTTGCCGGCCACCACGCCATAAAAGGATAATTTCGACTGGTTCGATCGTAAGATTTCGACCTCTCCCGACTGCAGCGAGCCGAGGTATCTTAACCTTCCCCCCAAACCTCTAAGTTTTCATATTTTTTTCACCAGAGGACTGGTATTTACAAATGCCGTCCTCATCTATCGTCCAGCCCAGCTCGGTTCCAAGCCAGATTTTCACGTCTGCGGAGTCGTTTAGCAACAAACTCCTCAATGACAAACCCACTATGATTATCACTTCTCTCGCAATTCTCCTCTCTCTCCTCATTCTTGAACAGACCGTCTATCGGGTGAAAAAAGGTAGTCTCCCCGGTTCAAAATGGACTATCCCAGTCATCGGCAAGTTTCTCGACTCGATGAATCCAACACTCGAGGGATATAAAAAACAATGGGCCAGTGGAGAATTGAGCGCACTCAGCGTCTTCCATATGTGAGCGAGAGACGGTTTCTTTTTTTGCGTCCGCTTTTTTTCTGATTAAATGGATAGCTTCATCGTAATGGCCACCACCAACGAGTATACGAGAAAGATTCTCAACTCGCCTGCATATACGGAACCTTGCTTGGTCGCTTCTGCGAAACAGGTCCTCTGCGGCGACAACTGGTACGTTGAGCCTTTTGTCGTGAATTGAAGAATAGCACTCACTCTATACAGGGTCTTTTTGAATGGCAAAGAACACGTCGACTATAGACGTACTCTTAACGGCCTCTTCACTCGCAAGGCACTTGCGGTCTATCTTGATTCCCAAGACAGCATCACCCGCCAACACTTTACAGAATGGCTCGCCGCCGCCAAAAAGGACCCATCTCCTCAGTCCATCATGCATACCACTCGTTACTTGAACATGCATACGTCCCTGCGTGTCTTCTGCGGTCCCCACATTCCCGAAGAGGCTATCAAGATTATCAGCGACAATTACTGGAAGATTACTCTCGCACTCGAATTGGTCAACTTCCCCCTCGCCATTCCCGGAACCAAGGTCTACGGTGCCATCCAGGCCCGCAAGATCGCCATGAAGCACCTCGAGGCCGCCTGCCGCGACTCTAAGATTTGGGTTGCCAACGGAGGAGAGACGACGTGCATGATTGACCAATGGGTCCGCGATTTGCAGGACGCTACAGAAAAGGCAATTGCCGACGGTAACGGAAAGATACCCAGGACATTTAGCGACCGCGAAATGGCCCTCGTCCTCCTCAGCTTTTTGTTCGCCAGTCAGGACGCGATGAGTTCCGGTGTCATTTACATGTTCCAGCACTTGGCCGACCATCCCGAGATCCTTGCCAAAGTCCGAGAGGAGCAAAAGATTGTCAGGAACGGAGACTATACAAAGCCCATGACGCTCGAACAGGTTGATCAAATGGTGTATCTGAGGGCCGTCATCAAGGAAAGTCTCCGACTCAAGCCACCGGTGACAATGGTACGTACAAGATTCTGGCGAGGGTGACAAACGATTTTACTGATGACCAGTATATAGGTTCCATACAAGGCCACCAAGGCGTTCCCAATCTCGCCCTTTTACACCGTCCCCGCGAACAGCATGGTCATTCCTTCCATCTACCCTTCACTCCATGATCCCAATGTGTACGAAGACCCACACCTCTTCCTCCCCGATCGCTGGTTGGATCCCGAAAGCAAGGCAAACGCAAACCCGAAAAACTTTTTGGTCTTTGGGGCCGGTCCACATCGGTGCATCGGTGTCGAGTATACGAACATCAACATGGCATGCGTCATGGGTAACGCGGCTGCGTTGTTAAACTGGGAGCACGTCCGAACGCCGGAGAGTGATGAGGTTCAGATGATCGCGACGTACGTTCCTTCACTCCTCTGTTGACACGCCCCACTGACTCGGTCCTATTTCCAGTATTTTCCCGAAGGACGGGTGCCTGCTCCGATTCTCTCCTCGTCAAGAGTAGACGGGAGCGCTTTGGATTCTCTTTATTTTGGGTTTCGAAAAAGCGTCGGTAGCGGCACCGGTAGCAGCAACCAGTATCGTCGAGTCAAGGGAGGGGGCGCATATACTTCCTGACTGTTACAGTGAGATAAGTTTTGAATTAGATCAATTGTAAAAGGATGTTTGTGCTCTTGAAAGTTCCCAGCGTCATGGCTCTTTGAGTAATGACAAGACGGCTCCTCTGAAATGCCAACTAGAAGGCTCGAGATTGGTTGAGCGCATGTCTGAGTCATTGAATCATATAACGGGCTGCGCATCGGCGCCTTTATGTCTCCTATAAAAGTCAGCGCCTTGTGAAGCGGGATTAAGGACAAAGCATGTTTGCTGCCACCCACCCCCACACCCACACAATTACCGCTAATCACCCTTAGCGTGTAATTTAGTCTTAATCTTTTCAAACTTTACTTTTTAATTCTTTTCTTTATCACAATGATTGAACCAGGAGACGAAAAGCTCGCCCGAAGCGATCACCACTCCCGTCAGGGTCTCCGCAAGCCCGGGGACAGAGCTAAGAAATTCAACCAGAAAAACACCCCGAAACCAAAACAGCTACAAAACAGTGGCGTAGCTGCTACTTCGACCAACAGGACCCACGGCAAGCGCGTCGATTTCATCAACGGGCCCATCGACAGTCCCTCACCCACGCTCAGCAAGCGGAATGGAAGTGGGGGTATGATGGGCAAGGGTAGTATGAACGAGTTTGGCGGAGAGCTCGACGACGACGATGATGCGTACAGTCAAGACGACGATTACGAGTACGAAGAGGAACAGCGCCAGAGGGCCATCATGGTCAGCCAAGGTGCACAGTCTGGCACTGGGACCCTCACCCAGGGCCGGGATGGTATCGTCTTAGATGAGACGAGGGAGGCCGCGACCATCATCCCGCTCGAGGACCTCCTGGCGAGCGCATACGCCAACAAGAAGTCTAAGAAATCAAAGGGTATGCAATGCATACAACACTAGGACAAACAAAATTACTGATCCCCCTATCCCTCAGCTGACCAATTTGACCACATTCGTGGATACGGCAAGCAGCAGTACGCGTCTGTGGCACCCAAGTCGGTCAAGTCTGGCCGCTCACGTCGCCAGTTCCCACATGAAGAAGACCAAGACTCTGACTGGGAGAGCGTCGGTCAGGACGGAACCGAGGCATGGGAGTATAACTCGGAATGGCGAGCGGAAATGGGCGATATCATGCACGAGACGCTGCCCAACAAGACCAGCTACCGGGAGGCAGCCAAGGCGGCCATCATTTCGGTTGATGGAAGCTTTGAAAGCGAGAGCGCTACTACCGAAAAGACGGATGAGCTCCCATAAATGAACGGCATAAAGGATTGTATCAACGTTTGAAATACATTAAGCAAGCCAAGAGGCAAAGTTATGTATCTCTTTTGACTATGTAGAATCAATAAAAGGGTTATTTAATGTCCGTTTGTCGGGAAGCACTCTCTACGTTACACACCTACCACGATGCAACATAGACCTCTACTTCTTCTCTGACATACTGGTCTATGTGACCTCCAACAAAATGCTAGTTTCCTCGGCTTTCATCCGTCTCATTCTTTGATATAACTGCGGCAACATCTTGTGGAGAACTCCCAAAACATTGCCGTTTGCAAAGGGTTTGAGATATTGTTTCAGCAGATTCTGGGCCATTCATCGGTTGAACTCCTCAGATTCGAGCAAGAATCCTGTGTCTGCAAGGTTTCAAAGGTTTTGATTGGTTAGAACTGGGCACAAACCCTAGATGCTGGCAGCTAGACGCTACATACCCGACACTTTACGCCGTACCTTTATTCTACGCGAGTGTCCTTGTTACGCCTCAATATCAGGAGCACAGAGCATTAGATTCTTTGAGTACCTGCCTCAGCTCTTTTCTACTGGGCATCAACCTTCAGTTTCCGTAGCGTCTACCGAATGCAAACTGGCGATGATCAGCAGAGGGGCATCTCTATCGTGAGCTTTGGTACGCTTGAAGAGGATATACAAGGCCAAACGACACTAATTACGCTTTTGAAGATGGGGGCGGTCCAGGCGTGATATCCGAGTTGGTTATGATGGAAGAGTTCATGGAGCGGATGGCATATGACACCGATATCGAAGGAAATGAACCCAATCTCACGGAGTGTTGGGATTTGATGGGTGGCGTTGGCTTCGGAGGGTGAGCATCACTGCTAGTCATTGCCTACGTATCACTAACTCCGACAAGACTGGCCGCTCTCTTGCTCGGACGCCTGTGCATGACGGCGCAAGAGGCAATGGATGAACTAATCACCATAGGAAAGGCCATATTTCCGAAGGAACCTCAGGAGAAGTCACCAGAGGAGAACACACGCGGACTGAGAACTGCAGTAGAAGACATGTTACGACGAAATGGGCATTTCGCTGACCTCAAGTTACGTGAAAGTGCACCAACTCGATGTAAAGTGTGAGGCGCGTGAAGGGATACTTAATGTTGCTTACCACATGTCTGTCTAGAGTCGTCTTCGCCGCTCCTGCAGCTATCACGAATCACTGCCAAGCGTTTAGGACATATAGACATCGAGGAAGGGGACTAGAATGTACGTTTGTTGAAGCCGCCTGCGCGATTCTAGCAGCCCCCGAAACATTTGCCCCCGTCGCCATTGGCCCACCATCCAGGAGTCAAGAGTTTGTCGGTATTCCACATGGTTACTTCAACCCAACAAGAGAAGTATTCAAAGAGGCGCAAAGGATATACGGGGACGAGAAGCTAGTATCTCTTTTCCTTAGCCTTGGGTCAGGGCAACAGAGTTCAACTTCTAGCTCAGAAACTCGGCTAACACGCATCACATACGACTATGGTATTGTTGAAAAGGACCTTTCTCACCAGC